AGGGTGGGGGGGGGGGTTCGGGGGTTCGGACAAACCCCGCCGTTTGCTAGCTGGCTCCGCTTGGATGGCAAAAAAAAAAAATCTCGAAAGAAGATTGCTTAAACTTAAAAAAAAAAAAAAAAAAAAACAATCCTGTTCAAATAATCTTTATAGACAGTAGCAACTTTAATACAAGTTTCAAGATGGAACTCTTATTTATGTGGTCAGCGCAATTGGTTGGTCGTTAATATCTTCAAAAGGCTCCACTTGTTCCAAATTTGAACCCCCCATCCCCCCCAAAAAAATCCTAGTTACGGGCCTGACCTGTAAAATCAGTGAAAAGGGTGAAAATTGCATTCAATATTCGATCGGGAAAACTGGTGATTTGTTTAAATATCGGGTAACACCCGACATGATCGGGTGAGTTGGCAGGGCTGTAGTAAGCCCACCTCAAGTATAAGTCCACTCCCTACTTTATGTCAAATTCTACATACTGTACCAGCCTTTCCTCTGGCAGAAGACTAGGATATGCTTTGAATGAGTTACTGTTATGTATGCAGTGCTGAAAAATTGCCTTTTCATTGAAAAAATGGGATTCCCCAAGTATAAGCCCTCCCCCAAATATTCGCCCAATTTTGTGTTCAATGGGGGTGGCCCAGAGGAACTGCAGTATTTAGTGTGCCAAAAAAAAAAAAATCAAATAATAAAATTAATAATATATATGGAGTACCTATGGTGGAAATCTGGTGGGCCCAAGAAAGATGCTCCTGGCAATTTCAAATAGGCCTACAACTTGTTTAAAACCCTGCCTCCGCAAACTTTTAAGCCCACAACCCACATTATACAGTATGTCATGCACTCAGACGCGGCACATCAACCCGAAGGCAAATTTCTCACTTGAATTTCATGGTGAAATGATTGAATATGGTATTTTTTTTTTCAGTTTGAATGATTAAAGTCAATAAATCATGTCCGTCGTTTTATACGCGTGTGGGACAGCGAGTATCAGAAGAACTGGCCACTTGATTCTTTTGGAAATCAGTTAAAAGATACTATCACCCATAAAACCCCTAAAAATAAAAATATAACTTTCAATTACTCATTTTTACATAAAACCATGCAAGTTATTAAATTTTCCGAAATAAATGATCTACAGACATTTTACTGTACATGAATTCCTAAATTTGCTGCCAGAAATGTATGGGTTATGCGAAGACATAGACACATTAAATTAAAGAGAACAATGTTTTCTTGTTACAATTTTCAGCAGTTCAGTTCAGAGCCAAACACGTAGAAATGAACAAATATTTTCATAGTATTGTAGCTCTGATAAGATGCACATGCCACACTTCAATTGCACTTTTGTTTACTGTAATTTTTATGTGCCCCACCTAAATTTTTTCTATGATATAGCTTGCGGAACGGTGATTTATGGGTTATGCAAAGACACAATCACCTTTCGGAAGGTAAAAAAGGAAGACAGAAATAGAAAAAAATTGATCGCCCAAAACGGCTCAGAGGTTATTTTTGGGCGTCTAGAAGACAAAAAGTTTGTGGGGGGAGAGATCCCTCTGCCCCTACCCCACCAGGGTAATATTATCTCAATCGGCCCCCAAAAAATTTGGACATCTCTGGATTTTCCCCTGCGATGGGTATCACTATGAACAGCAAAAAATAATTAGATACAGGTCTCCCGGAAGTGGCTTCTTCCAACTTGGGACCATTGGATTTCAAATTTTACATGCAAAAGACAATGTTCTACTTTTATACTGTACCACTCGATAACTTTATTAATATGCAAACAAAAGACAAACTAGAACTATTCTTTGCTTGTTTAAAATCGTTACAAAACAGTCTCTTAATTTTGTTCATCAAAATTTGTGTCTATGGTGGAATCTTACGCTTCCAAAATTCATGGTGAGTGGCAAATTGCCACATTATGTTAGATTTCTTCACAATAGTACTGTAATACAGAATATTTGCACAGTAAACAAATTGAATTTGAATGCATGTTTCTTAGATGTGATTGTTTGGTAAACCTATGCTACTTAAAACATCTCTACTCAAATGTTTAAAAAATCTATTTTTCAGGTTATCAATGACAGACCCTCAATTTTTCAAACAGTTTCAGAGTAGATAAGTGAGTAAGCACATAACATTGATATGCATTGAAATTTTAAAAATTTAGTTACAAAACAAGGGCACGTTCCCCAGTTTTCCCAACTGGATCTACACCTGGTTATCTGGGAGTAATAATGTGAAGCGCTTAGAGGCCTAGGTGGCATTAAACGCTATATATTATTATTATATTTATTTAAAAGAAATGCCCACGATATGGGAGAAGTAAAGAAAACCAGTCAAAAAACAGGTTATCTAAACATATTATCTATTGAACTAAAAATAAAAATATCATTGGCACTAACACAACTGACAAGGCATACTGTAGTAGCTACATTTTACCAGCTGGTTGAAGCCACAAAAGTGTGTTTATACTTTACATACAGACAAGGCTTAAAATAATCAGGGGTCATCTTAAATGTGTGACATACAAATTTTAGATTTTAAAAAATCATGTTTGTCTTATCTGCGGATCGTCTGTAACAAGCAAATTTACTACTACAATGTAGCTAATAACTGTCAGTATGAATGATTGCAATTTTAAATGCGGGGGAATAAGATTTTGATGAACATATAAGCCCAGAAAATGGTATTTACAAGATTAACCCTACGATTGGCACCGTTTTTAGCAAGCAAGATGCAGTATCTAAGATGATAAACAGCCACAAAAAGTAGGAATTATACGGCCAACATACAAAATTCGTCCAAAAATCTTGTCTTATAGGCTAGTATACACAGTACTTATTCTAACATTAAATATATAATAAAAATAGGAATGTGTTACTCAATGCCTATCATTTAATAAATAATAAAAATGTAGTAGAAACGTATAAAAATATGAATAACATGAATAAAAATTTTAACACATTTTAACATTAAAACAAAAATCATATCACCATGTTGGGATATAAAGGTTTAAATATTTTTGACAAATATTGGTGGCATTTTTTGTAAATATTGTCTTATGTAATGTCATTTTTTTTGTAATGTCATGTGTCATATGTAATGACATTATACAGCATGTAATGTCATTATATGTAATGTCATTATATGTAATGTCATTTTGTGTAGTATCATTTTATGTAATGTCATTTTGTGTAGTATCATTTTATGTAATGTCATTTTGGTATTGTTATTTATGTATTGTCGTTTTATGTTATGTCACTTTATTTTCGCTTCATGTAATGTCATTTTACTCAACTTCAGCACATTCTTGATTAAATTTAAACTAAAGAAATATATTCATTATAAAAGATCATACCACTCTACAACAAGATCATATGACGATTATATTATTTTATGAGGAGATTGTAAGAATAGTAACTGTTTAACCAGAGCCACAAAGCATGCTGAGACTGATTGTAAAAACCTGTCTCTTATACACATCTAGATGTGTATAAGAGACAGAGGTGGGGGTGTTGTTGGTGGTACACCAGAGTCAATCCCCTACTCTTTTTTCCAAAAAGTAGATTGAGCGATTTAACATGCACATGGGCCGTACGGCACGCCGCACCAACGGTCTCATCCAAAAGACAGCGCACTATTGAAAATTTCAGCCCTCCAGCAGAACACAAGAAACCGATGGGAATTGAATATGGGACAAGGTTACTTAAAATCTCCATGGTTCAGCGCATACACAATGCCTACCACCAGTAGTGCCAACTGAGACAGGCTGCTCTTGTATACCATAAGTATAATTACGAATCAGATTATACATGGTTTGTCTCTGGCAATAAAATATCTTTCAGTTCATTTTCATGTATTAATTAGACAAAAAAAATGGTCCATGTTAATACACAAGCAGCAGTACCAGTTGCCTCCTCCCCCTTCTCTGCATTCCACAAATTTTCTGTAATTTCTGACAAAGATTACGCTGGTTTTAAAATGAATATTTCAGCTGTAAGGCCAGTAGGTGAGAAGCCTCCTATAACATAAAGCTTGCCATCATGCATTAGAGTGGTAGCTGAACTGCGTCCTGCTGGGCATTCTGGTCCAATTTCCCAGGCACCCGATGATGGATTAAACACACTAGTATCCTGGAAGGGTTTCTGTTGTGGTCCTGCAGAAAAAAAAACCATTACCATATTTAGGAAAAAAGCTTATTTATAATTCAATCTAGATTACATGGTTTAAATGTTTTTGAATTTCCAAACCTTTAATTATCAACCACAAATATAATTATTGTAAAAGCAGTAATATTGTTGTAATGTCAGTAACATACTTTTATTCTATACACATTTATAATTATTATATCATACACACTTAAAATAAATATGGTTTTTAGAAAGATCATGTCAGGCCAAACATGGAGCATGTATTGTATATAGGGATTAGGCCAAAGAAAGTATTCTGGCTTTGTCAGACAGTCTTGCTAAAAAAAAACCAAAAACTAATAACTTTATTAATGTTATCATTTTTTTGCTGCATAACTATGTATTACATACATAATCCTTCTTTTCTTCTGATCAGCATGTAAGCAAATGGTGGCATATCCAACCACAACCAAGGGTAGAGACACCCACACACAAGTACATGATGTACACATTTACACATTACATACCTAATCCTCCAGATGCAATGACCATGCCACCTACCACACCTCCAGCGAAGTCACCATGTTTACTTGGCATATTCTCCAACGTACTCCATTCACCTGTACAATAATTGAATCCATAGTTTTAACATACAATGCATTTGTCTCTCTAACCAGAGTATAAATGGGTACTGGCATATGCTGGGAAGGTAAACGGACTTGCTGTGAGGAGTGGCAATCCCCTCATTGCACAGTCTGGCTTCAATGTTGAAGAAAGAGAAATGTGCACTCCAGACATTTTTGACTACCTTTACATGTACATTTACCCATGGTTAGGATAAATAATTACAATTGTTATGAAACAAATAATAATAATTTATAAAACTTACAAATAATATTAGAGTTAACAACTATATGGGATAACAATGTACAGGTGATAATAATTTATTATTAAAAACGAGCCAAAATCTCTGCACATTTTTGTCATGTCATTACCTAAGAACCTGTTATTGAAAAGGCAAACTTTCTTATCAATAAACAACGAGTAATTTCAGCCCAAATGATTCCACACAAAAATATTACCTTTTTCAATATCGTAAGCCTCAAATGTGTCAACAAACTCCTTTGGTTGTTGTTGAAGCCCACCATAAGAATATATATGTGTTTCTGTGACAGTGTACGACGGGAATACTCTGGCATGTGGAATATCCGCAAGTTTGACCCATTTTGGAGTCGGTTTTTCTGCTAGGTCCAGCATTTCCACAACGGTGCATGCTGATTTGCCTTGTCTACCGCCTATCCCACAAGAAACCAACAATGGAAAAAGAAAAACATTTTGATGACTTCATAAATAAAAGACAGCTTTAGCATAATTAAAATAGAAATGAAATTTAATACAAAAAAACTTGTAATGTAAAACAGCCCTGTCCACTGTTAAAATTAATTTAACAAAAACCTGTGATGTGCCTTGTCAGACAGGCTTGGACCCCATGTCGTCTGAAATCATGAAGAGGTTGCCGGATCAAAAATAAAAAGAATAGTGATTTGCCTAGTGACTTTTCATTCCGGAATGCCAACCGAGGCTCTGGTCAGCTCTTTAGTTTAGACCCTCTGTCAGACATATCAGACACTTTTTTCGGAAAAATTTCTGGAGTCATCACTAACCATATATAGGCACACCATGACCACATATAGGCACATCCTGACTATATATGGATGTGCCTATACAGACATTTTTTGTGTATAAATTTGATAATCTGGACAGAGCTTCAGTGTTAAAATGCTCAAGTTCCTGCATCGGAAACTAGAGGCTTGCTTGCTACCTGGCCTATTGAAAACAGGCCCGTACACAGTTTCACAACCTTGTCCTTTTGCTCCTTGGTCTGTCCCCATATTTGCCACATTGCGCTTTACCACATGGCCTGCCATCAGTGTCAATAACTGGCCATTCGCCATCTGGCATGTCCCAAATTTCAACACCTGGCCATTACCCGCGCCTGCTTCTTATCTCAGACTATGATTACGGTACTTACCAAACACATAAAGTTTATCGCCTTTTAGGTGAGCAAACGCAGCATACCGTGCAGTCGGCATGTCAGGTAGTGTCAACCAAAGATTCTTGTCAATATCATATACACGACACTTCTCACTCGGTTCAGTGTTCAATTTCATTCCTCCAATCACTATTACATTATTATCTGAAAAGTGAATAATGCTAATACTATTAATAATATATAAACATAGACAGTAATAGAAAAATGACAGAAATTCTTTTAGAAAAAAAATTTGAATTAAAAATAATAAGGCCATGTTCAGACATGAGAGATATGACAGGCGCAACTAATGTCGGGCATACGTTCATCCACGGCGTAACACACACTGTGCAATTAACACAATGCTAATGTAAATACTTTCACGGAATAAAGAATTTTGTAATCATGCTTTTAACATCAACGCTTATTCGTGATTGGTAAAATCCTTGCCTAGGTTCAAAACCATTGATGCATGACTGTCGTAACCAGTGGCGTACGCTATTCTGGGGTTTGTTGATGGATCATAAATAGGCGCTAATACTGGCGTTCCCTATGCTGCACCCAAGTTCACACTATTTGATTAACTTACGCAGGCGTTAACTTGTATCTGAACATAGCCTAAAAGAGTATCTAATATGCTCACTATGTACACATGTTACCACTCCCATTAATTTTTCTTCAAGTGACTTTAGCGCTGTCCATGTTTTCTTCTCAACATCGTAAGCATCCACATTATCAAGAGGGCTCTGGTCTGCAGACACTCCGCCAATCACAATGATTTTGTTTCCGACCGTAACTACGGCAGGCTGCGCCCTACTGCAAGAGAGATTTAGCAAGCGTTGCCATTTTTTCTTTTTGGTGAGATTCAGGGACTCTACGGTGTCCAACGGTTTTCCATCTTTATCACATCCACCAATGACATAGAGTTGATTATTGACAATGGTGGCTGATGAAAATGTCCTCTTGGTTGGCATCGGAGGGAGTGATTCCCATTTGATAGATGTGCATTTGGTTCTTGCTGCGGCCATTATCAATATTTTCACAAGCTGTTGGTGGTTGTGGTGACTACAAATTCATTCCATTCTATATTCAAAGCTGAAATTACAAGCAACCTTGGTTAGTCACGTATCATGAAGTAAGAAACACAGTTAAAATATTAATTATATATAAAATATTGAGACCATTTCCCATGGATCTAACCTGTACATTCATGTAGGTAATTAGCAAATTATTAATAAGGCCAGCAGTGCAGGGCTGGGTGCCAGGAGGGATGTGGAGTGATGGTTGGGGAACTCAACGACAACATTATTCTTCAGGGAGAAAAAATATAGGCTAGGCCTAGGCTAGGGGAGGCCTACTAATAGTTTAGTAGTAGGGCCTAGGTCTACTACGAGGCCTAGAGTCAGGCCCTCAGACCTACTAGGCCTAGCCTAGTAGTAGTAGTAGGCCATGCCATGGTAGGCCTAGGCCCCCACCTGACTGAGGAAAGAAATTTACACTGAAAACAAATTACATAAGGATAAGCTCTATAATATGCTGCTACTCTGTTCTATTTTGAATTATTCAAAGACAAGAGTAAACGTGTTAAGCGTAGGCCTGTGTTGTTTACTAGATACTCACAATTTAGCATTGACCCACTGGATCCTAAGTTTGTAACCCGGTTTGTAACATCACCAACCCAAGCCGCCGGTGCCGGTGGGCTCTTCCAGGGACCAGGTGGTGTGAAAGAAAGTATGGATCCGGTGTGACGTGTGGAAGCACCAGTTGGTCGTTTCGTTTACCTATATAACGCCCTCTCTCGTCCAGAATTGGAACATTTTTCAAAAAAAAAAAAAAAAAAAGGTTTTTCTGCACGGCAATCTTGGATCTTTTCCAAACTTAATCCAAACATACTGTCCCATGTGACCAAGGGTGTGCCGCGTAAAATTTAGTGACAATATGAAGTGGGGTGTGGATGTGACCAATAAAATGGATTAAAAGGTAAACACCACATACCAGATATTTTAAAACGGATCACCTGATCTGAATGAGCAACAAGGAAGATTTAATTGTGTCAAATGTAGGATGGTCCTGGCTGGCTGAGAACCCCACCCACACTGGATTAGTATGATATATGTCATACAGTCGATGTCAGAGACACATTATGCTGTTATGTATCAAAGCCCTGTTGGATCAGGGTGCTATAGAGAGAGGAACCTACTGGACAGTCATGGGGCCCCTAAGAGACGGTGGCCCTGCGAACTGCCGCATGAGATCGCATAGGCGTTACGCCACTGTGCATGGGTACTATATTCCGGCTAAAAAACTCCGCTTTTATAAAAGGTCTCCGTCTTTTGGCCTTTTTTAATTAACGATTTATGAAATTTTTGTTTAAAAATCGGCGTCGGGGATTTAGCGTTGTGTTCGTCGTCAATCAATAGAAAATTCAAAATTATTGAGTGGTAAAATAATCGAGCCTTCCTTTCGCCCACTGCTGGATCTGCCACTGAACTCATGGGTACACTTCCTTTTTTCCCCTCTTTCTTTCTTCCCTTTAACTCTTCTCAATTGAGAGAGACTGGCGAGGGGGGGGGGGTTCCCCGTGGCCTCCAGCTGGATGTCTAAAAAAATGATTCAAAATATCAAAATGCCCTGTTCTAAATATAATTTATTGGAATTTGCTTTTAAATTTTAAATACATATATTAAACGGCGAATTTTGAAATTGTTCGATCAAATCCTTGATATCACAAAGAATGTTATATGCGTATGCCGCAAATGATGATTAATCTAAATAACTTTGGAAATGTAACAAATTTCTATACATATAAAAAAAAGCAAATGTTTACATATCTCCAATCTATACAATCTCAAGACCTAAGGACCACCAAAAATTATAAAAAGAGAGAAAAAAATGAAAAGCAAAATGCACTACAATGCCAGTAACTGATTCAATAGTATGGTACTTTCTATGACGATAATAGAGTAAAGTGTGTCTACAGGAAAATTGCAGTTTGGCCTATATACGCCTATACCTCTATATCACCTATAATATTTACATATATATTTGTGTTAATAAAAATAAAATTTAAAAAAATAAATAGAAAAATTGGAATTGGTAGTAGTCATTCCATTTGGAATGAGCGTTTCAACCCGACATGGGAACATAACTGTCTAATATATTATAGCTGTCTATAATAATAATGAAATCATGTCCTCCAAATTTTATCTGTAAGTAATAGTTTACTGCAGTGGCGTAGCCAGGGGGCAGGAGGGGCCAGGGACCCCAGATTTTGACCTTCCCCCTCCCCAGCTTCCCCCACCCCGAGGTGGCTAATGAGGTTCATTGACATTTCTACATGATTAATTTATATTGTGTAGTTTTAGTTTACAGTACAGTAGGCCTATACATATTGGCAATCACATGCATTTATACAAACTCAAGAGTATTTCTTGTAGCTAATTAAAATTAAAATGGCTAAAGTACAATCCCGTTCCCGGTTATCTATGTTTCTAGAATTTAACTGTAATTCGTATTACGATACAAAATACAATAGTTTCATCATGGTTTATGTTTTGTATAATGAATAAAGAGCTATAAAACAATATGATGTTCATTTTGATTCTTTAATTCCATAGAAATTTCACTTGATTTATACATTGTTATTTGAGACCACACGGGCTGTCACGCAAGATAGCCATTTAGCCATATAGCCATATAGCCACCGGGGGCCCCTCGCGGCCTCAGGCCCCCAACATTTTGTTGCTCGCTTCGATCAGAACACTTGTTCCCCCTCCCCACATAATATCACGGACCCACACTGCTCTCCCCCCTACAAAAATATTCTGACTACGCCACTGGTTTACTGACTGATTTTAAATGTTTCTGCAACTTTTGTTGTTTGCATTGTTGCGCCCTGGATATGCTTGGTCCTACAAGCGGTGACCTCGGATGTATGTTCCATTCTATTATATTTATTGAATAAAGAATGAATAAAAAAAATATTTTACGTGTACGTGTTTCTACAAGGATCTGACTAGGCCTATATACAGTCAAATTAAAACATACATAGTCTATAGTTATAATTTACAGCATTAAAAGTAGTCATAGATAGGCCTAACATGAAAAGAGATCTGACGTGTTTTCAAGAAACATGAGGGTGACTGTTGAATGGATCATACAAAAAGCGAAAAGATATTGCATTTCGAGTGAATTACATTGAATAAATTCCGTGTTAGATTTTGTTTTTGATGAATAAATTAATGGACTTTGTTGTAGTATTTAACGGCCATAAATCATCAGCACAAATCATCAGCTGGGACACTCTCGACAATCAATGACTACAGGAGAAACTGAGCTGTAAAAAAATATATACATTTAATTTCGTTAGTAAAATTGCTTTGTCCGTCGTTTTTTTAGAAACTGAACCGCTAGAGCCAGCCGTTCCAGATATTTTCATGTCTATTACCAGGTTTACTGTAATGAATGTTAAAATATTGTCTATAACATGGTACATAACTTTGGTTGTGTAGATTACTACTGATAAATGTCTTTGGAATAATTGTGCCTATGAAAAGTAATATTGAGTAATAATACCTTCGGCTCAAGTGAAACCATGTGATAGAGGTCTGGTCTATAGCCATCCAATGTAGTGACATCATTGCAAGGCGTTATAAGATTCACCAAACACATTTTCCCTTCTACGGAACTACACCTCTCGCATTTAGGTCCACATGTATACTGTTCCCTGTGGTCAGAGTTGAAATCACGATTTATTATCTCTGCAGTAAAGGATATCAATTTGTTTAGAACATAGGTGACCTGGGTTTGGTCGTCATTATGTACTGCAACTTTGATCAGATTTCTCTCATATGAATTATTCTCAGATACTACATTTGCGCTGATGAATAATAGACATGATTTACTGGTCCTGAATCTTGCTGCATCGTAATAGATCTTCTCCCAAGTAAAACGTTCACAGCACTTAGCAATAAGGCGCAAAAACATACACTCTGGTAGAATTTCCCCAAAGTCAAAATAAAAGATATCTTGCGATTGGTCATTGTAGTTCCACAAAGTTGACATCAGAGTGACCTTTGGCAGTCGACACGAAAGACAAAATATGCCAACCTGATCGATTTCATCAGCAACATTAAGCGGAAACAGTAGGTGTGTTCCTACTAAGAAACGAATAACATAAGGATACATTGTCCAGATCCCCTCTTCCCGACAGATATCCTCGATCAACCTGCTGTCAACGATTCCTGTGTCTTCCAATCTCTGCCAATAATCGGCTACTTTTCGATTTCTCTTATGAAGTGCAGGTACATTAACTAAGTGTATCAAAATGCTAACAAGCATCTGAGGGTCACAAATTACGTAATTTTGGAGTACCTTATCATGCTCTTTATATATAACATCACCAGATTTGTCAAAAAAGTTCAGGAATTGGCGCAACTCATTCTGTGGCATTATACCACATGCCGTTTTTGCTTCCTCTGAAATGGTATCCAAGCTCGTTATAATAGATTTCTTTAGGCGAAACTTATTCAATATTTCGTTGAACAAAAGATATTTTACTGAAAACTTTTCATGAAAATACTTCATATTTGTAATTTCGTTGTGGATTACTTTTCGTAACGTTTTGATTTCTTCGTCCTTGTTTAGCGCGTTTTCGACGTAAAACAACATATTTCCAGATGGATGAAACGCAATAAACTTAGAGAAACGTTTGTAGAGATGTACCTTTGCCAGTCTTGAGAAATCTAACAGAGAATTCATGTCACGAACACTTTCCCGTCGTGTTCCTACAAGTAAAACCACAACATTTCCGACTTCTGCATGCATAGCAACTGATTGCAGCCAAAACTTTAAGCGTTTGATTTGTTTTTCAGGATTTCTAACAGCTTCAGCGGCGTTAAAAAGAATCAAGTACACACCTTGCTTCGGCATAAAGAGGTGGTGTGTGTTATAGTATATCTTTTGTCCTGCAAAGTCCCATAAACTGAGTCTAGCATCTAAATAGGATTCATTACGAAACTGTGCTTTCAAAGATTGGCAAATATGCGATAGGGGTACATCCAATGTATTCCTGACTTTAATGTATGCTAAACATTCATACACAATAAAGGATATTAATGGGACGATATATACCAAAACCGGAAACAAATGAATCTGGATCGATGTCTGTTGATGTTCGTCTAAATATAGAACGGTGAAGTCTCTAAATTCCCATTTTACCAATTTTGCCATGCATAGACCGAAAATAAAACCAATTGTTTTTTTGATGATGTAGCTTTGAGTTACGTACCCATACGCAGTACATTTCATTGCAAGCATACAGCCAGTCAATGTCAATCCGACAACCACTACGATAATAAAACACTTGAGTAATTGCAAGGAATACCATCCAATGTAAATACTTACAATAACAAACTTTATGATAAGAAATACGGTAATAAATACATAGTTTATCCACCTTAATTGCAAGAATTTAACGTGAACATTTTTAAAAACAAGAACAGACAAACCGGGTACTAACATCGAAAGTATGAATTCTAAATAAGACGTGTGTACAGTTTCCATGATCTTTGTATACGAACAATCTTTTTGAAGTGGGTGAACCATAAAACATAGTGCTACGCAGACACCAGTCCGCCCACCAGCAACTGCCATGAAACCAGTTACAATACTAAATGCTCCGTACAATATAACTGTCTTAACAATATTAATTAGTACATCTGTTTCCATATCTCGTAATTGGTGGTCAAAATACGTTAATTCCATATATGCTCCATCAATGATCACAATCGGGAAAGCAAATCCGCACCCAAAACGGTATGCAGAGTGAATGTCAACTATAGACATTAAGCTAATAATATATACCCATACAATAAAACCAAATCCAAAGACTAAAAATTTAAAAAGTATCATTATTGGAATACATATTAAAACCGGGAAAAATACATCTTCAACAATTATTCTCCAATATCTGTTGTTCGTTTTGGAAGTTTTGATTTTATTTGTTTTTTCCACATGCGATACTGCCCACCATGCTGCTGAACGTTCATAGCAAAGATCTTATAAACACAAGATAGCGTTCTCCGCGATTTACGCGTGCAAATTCTGTAATAAGGCATGAATGGTGCCCTCTTGCTAAATTGGAAACTTTTGACCCTTGACCGCTCGACTTTACCATTAGGGTATCAATCCTGTGAACAGCAGAACAAGAACCA